AAAGGTCAGCTACGGCTGACAGCATAAGAATGCGAAAAAGAAACGGGTGCATTGCAAACCTTTCAATATATCATCTTTTCTGTACTATACATATTATACAAAGTACCTACTCGAGCCAGAGACTTTTTATCGTCAATTTCTTGCCTCCTATTGAGGCAAGTGTGGAGCGCCCGGTTGATTGCACGGTATGGTGTGGTTGAGGTCATCGTCTTCGCCAGCGAGGACGGTGTCCACCTAGCCAGGTCGCTAGACTTTAATAAAACAATTTATTGAATTATAAAATTTTTATTTCTTTCGACTCGACAAAAATTACAAATATAAATTCTTATACAAAATGAATTATTTTTTATACAAAAATTACACGTCGAAATCGGTACAGTCAACAAATAAGTACTTAAATTAGCGTTTAGATAAAATGTAGTTAGAATGGAAAACGAATGAAGCCTGAAAATTATTGTTGTATACAGATATAACAAAATGTTTGAGATTCTATATGTCTTGTATGCGAAAAATATGGCGTTATAACGTTGTTTATAAAAGAAATTTATTTTTCTTTCTTCTCGATATTTCACATAACGCCATCTAGTCCCAAACTAGGCTGAGCTTGTGTTATGGGTACTGGACAATTGATAAAAATACTTAAATATACTTAAATATTGGTATAGCAGTGCAATACAGTGCATGAATGTCGATGATGAAAAATAAGACATAATTAACCCGAAATAATATCTTAAAATATCGAAATAAAAGTTTAAATTATTAAAATTCAATTATAATATTAGAGAAATTCAAAAACATTAATTTTAAATAGTTATTTTTATTGAAACAAAGAACAATTACAAACATAGCTAAGGAACACAGCTATACAACCATATACTTCGCATTTTACACTTTCTTTTCCAAACATTTAACAATAACTTGCATATTTATATAACTACGTACCGGAATTTAATATGGTTTCACATTTCGCAAAAATTGTTATAATAATATAAAAGCAAAATTTAACGTAAGTTTTAATAATAATTCATAATATATATTGTTATAGTGATCACTGGACCTTTATTTTCAATTAAAGATCGTATTTTAGATATTATAAAACAAAAATATTTTTTTATGGTTTTCTAATAAAAGACATTATAAATATTATTAAATAACTATAAATAAACTCGTGGTATGTACATGTGGAATGAATCTTTGTTTAACAAGTTAAATTATAAGTGATCGATTTATACATGTTTTATTTTTCTTAAATATACAGAAATAAAGAGGAATTGATCGATACAGCTATATTTTCATGAATATAAAAAAAAAAGAAATTTAAATCCTCACAAATTTTAAAGCAAATAATTATTGATTTTGAAACGGATAATGAGTGAAATTAATAATGGAATATTTTTATAAACTTACAAAATTTTATGAAATAATAATCAGGACACTGCGTTTATATATTTATTAATACATTAATTCTTTTTTATTTTATTACTCGATATAGGGAATTTTGGAATGACATTAGCTCTAGAAATTGTATCGCAGTGTATACATTTTTTGACAGATGTTTTGTATGTAATGGCGCCATAAGTACAAAATTGGCGCGAATTTGTTTTTGTTTTTATTAGAAACAAATTGATTGTTTTTTATTTATTAGTAGCCAGTTATTTACGACGCACAATATAGTTTAGTTTTATAAGTACGTACGCAGTTTATTGTAAAAAAAAAAAGGTAGTGATAAAAGGTAATGAAAGGTACTTGCTCAGTGCTTGTGTATTCATATAAAGTTTTTAATGCAAGTAACAAAAATATATTTTGGTATGAATTTATATTTTCATATTTTAGCCAAAAATTTTTTTTTTTATTTTTTATTACAGATTAGACAAATTACCAAACAGCTAAACTCTTTAATTTTGATATAAAAGTTTACAAATATTTGGATAGAGTGACAAAACAATGTTTTTTCTGATTCATTAAAGGTGCAGATGTAGTGACAAACGTTACGGAATCGATCCCGTGTAGACAAATATTGCTGCCGGTACCCCCGCGCGACGCATGTGCTTCAATATATTATTTAAAAAATATCACATTTCAAGCAACTTGTGTATAATATTGTATATGGGCTATGGAGAATGAGAAGGCAGAGTGCATGGTTTACAAAAACATGTATCAATTCTGAGTATACTTTGGCTGTATAATTCCTTTCCTTTGATTACATTTTTTTTTAAACCATAGACAATATATTGCCAACTCAAAAATGATAATGTAATTAGAAACAGTACACTCTGACTTGTCAATCTTTAACTATTGTACATTATGGAGGAATGTAGAGGGGAAGAGGGGGGTGTGTGTATATCAGTGTGTAAATAACTCTGTAACACTATTGCTAGGTGGCGCGCCGGGCGGGTAACTTGCAACCAGTACGGACAACTATTCAGTCTTATTCTACAGTCATTAGAGCCTTCACTATGATCGAATTGTTTATTTATAAAAAGAAATATAATTTAAAATTAGAACAAAAAGTATTCCAATTTAAATTCATATTCATTTTTATAAAAACAATGTAAAATACGATTCGATTATTCTTGTCTATGACTCACTAAGGAAATAAGTCGTTACTTCACAATTATAACATTAATCTGACAGAACTTAACCTATTGACAACTATAAACATATTGTGTGTTAAATACTGTCAGATATTCATATATATGGCAATATTGGAAGACATCTTGTCTATGGCAAGGCAACTGTCATTAATAAAAAAAAATCTTTTTTATCCAAAACTGTGCAGAACTTAATGCAAGCAACACCATATCTCCAATTTAAGGCATTAAAAATCTATTTCCCTTGCTTCGGACAACTGTGAAAACGTTAATTCAAGATGGCATCCAATAATTTCCCGCCAAAACGATTTATTTTTTAAATGTCATAATGAGAAGGCTCAGACCAGCGCGTCTACATCGGACGGATTCCGTTGCGTTTCTTGGTGCGCTGTGCGCTGGTATGGGCCCGCGCGGGCAAAGCTGCGCGCGGGTACTGTAATAACGGACTTATTCTATCTTAATAATTCTATAAATGAAACCTGATGGCATGATTACAGAACCGCCATTTTGAAATTTCACATTTCAAACAAAATGGCGGGCATCTGTTTTTTCCAATGTACTTCATATTGTTATAAGAATGATGTTTAGTAAAAATGAACAAATATAGCGTAAGAATTATGAATATTGTCATTTCTTTAATTTAAACGAATATTTCTTTATTTTCATATAGTTTTAAAAACTATATAAAATTAATAAATTTGAATGAATATCCCGTTGAATGATTTTTTTTTAAATTTAAAACTAATATTTGTTTGTTCGTGTTTAAATTCTATATACTTCTCATATAAAGCTATACTTTAGAATATATTTAATTATGAACAATTGCTATTAATTCCAATTTGAAATGAAAATCATCGCTGGAAGCCTTGTTTCCAGCATTATGCTGAGTTATGGTCTGTTTTGTGATACGTAAATTGCTATTTTTTTGTCATTATTCTTCTATATGTGCAAGTCAATAATTTCTATTCTTTTCTATTAATAATGACAGTTTCGATTCATTTAACAGCTATAATTAACAAACTATAAAACTTAAGTTGCCAAAGACTAAAATAATTTATTTATGAATATCTATCAATATTATTTGTCACAAAATTTTGTCACTATTTTATTTATTAAATAAGATCCTGTGACAAAAAAAACGATTTCATATTCATAATTTATTTTTAAATTTTGTTAGTCATCCAGTTGGGCTAGCTACTTTTGCTAAGAACTGGCTACAATATCAACTTGTACATATATTTTGTATATCTTGTAACTGTAACTGTCAAATTGAATCATATAAAATCGAAAATCAATCTGTTGCAATAACGTTTGTAACTGACTTATATAATCAAACAGCACTTTCAAACATTGCAACCGGGAATGTCACACCTACTTTCCATACATATATACCATCAGGTTCCGTAAACAGGTCTTAACCCACAGTACAGTCATACATAAAAAAACCAAAACCTTCCATACATGAGTTAAACAATATTTACATTTCACCGTAAATTGTGTATGAGTGTACTATTGTGCTATCGACCATACAAAAATTAATACAACACTTAAGACTAAATAAATGTAGGCTTGTTAGGTGCATATGTACCGAATAGATGAAGAATATCAACGAATTAAAACTTAATTCCCATCGTAAGTGGGTTGTTAACGGTGTGTTCTTTACACCAGGTCATATGAGCGGAGCAAGTTTATTCCTAAAAAAACAATTTTAAACAATTTCTTTGAGTGGTAAACGATGGAGGCTTAAGGTCGACCTTCGATAAAATTTTGGTCTCGATCAGTCAAGTCGTTTCGGAGGAATATCATTACAATGAATGGAAATCTGATCTCTAAGTTCACTCCATTTGGTCTCAATCGGTCAAGTCATATCGGAGGAGTCTCGTTACAAAGTGTGCAAATCTGATCTCTAAGATCACTCCACGCTTCCCGCTTATACATCATTTTCGGTGCCATTTCCTCGTCAATTTTATGAGAATAAAGAATTTATCTATCTACATAAATATTGATATTTAGCACAAGAAAGAGCAAGAAACTTGTGTTACTCCTGTGTTGAATAAACTAATTCTTTCTTTGTACAACTTATAGATAAAATTTATTATTTATATATGACATTTTCGGCTTCATATTCTTGTAAATTTTACTAGGATTGTTACCGTGGTGCTGTTTACACACCAGCTCACATGTTGAGCGGAGCGCGATTATTATTAAAAACTTAGTCTTTGAAATTAAATTTTTTGCAGCAGCGCGTGAATTTTTCTGTCTTAGCATAGACAGAAACTTTATCAATGACCATTCCTCGAGGACGCGGCTGAGCGGAATCTTTTTGAGTGGTAAACGATGGAGGCCCAAAGGTCCATCTGATGAAATTTTGGTTTCGATTGCCCAAACCGTTCCTGGAGTATCATAACAAAGAGTGCAATTCTGATCTTTAAGATGGCTCTACGTTTGCGTTCCACCCAATAATTCTATAGAATTTATCTACGTATCTTAGCGTGGGAAGGCCTCCAGCAAGGTGGACCGACGATCTGGTCAAGATCGCTGGAAGGCATTGGATGCGAGCAGCGCAGGACCGATCGTCGTGGATATCTTTGGTGGAGGCCTATGTCCAGCAGTGGACGTCTTCCGAGCTGATGATGATGATCTATTTATCTACATTTGCATTTACTAAGAGTTCTAACCTGTTCTCTAAGACCGCTCTGCTTTTCGCGTTCCACCCAATAATTTTATAGTACCTATTTAACTACATTTGCAGTTACTAACATCGCTCTGCGCTTTGTGGTCCGCTCTATAATAATCAAGCATCTAAATAAGTACATCTGCACCGTCCAAATCCTACGATATCACATGTTTGCAACACAAAATGTGACCCTGCAGGTCTAACATGCGACGACGTTCGTGCAACTACGCGACGAAGTCCAGCGGCCTGTTGAAGCCCCCTTTCCTGTTCATGTACTGCCGGTACTTACGCTTCAGCACCACGTGTACGTCCCCTTCGACGTTATCCTCCACCTTTTTCCCTTTGGTCGTGTCGAACCCACAGAAACCCATTACCTTTAACATTTCCTGTTCCTCTGGCGATTTGCCCTCTAAATCCGCCGGGGTGACAATGGGCCGTTCTCCGAAGGTCTTCTTCGGCTTTACGAACGAGGTGGTCGGGCCTGGAGAGATGGAGCGGGAGCGTCGCCTGCGCGGGGAGGGGCTCCGGCGGCGGTCGGGGGAGCGCCGCCTGCGTTCGAGGGAGCGCGAGCGCGACCGCGTGCGAGGCCTGCGCCTGTCTCTGTCTCTGTCTCTGTCGCGGCGCTCCTCCCGCCGCCGGTCGTCGCGTCGACTCGGCGACCGACCCATGCCTCTGAATATAAACATATTTTTTTAAATTACACTGATGTTTTTTTATGGATGATAATGGAATGGTGAACCCGCCTGCGTCAAAGGTTTACGTTGGCAGGGCACTAGTGGAGGAAGATAAGATGAGTATGAGGTCAGATCAGTTAGATAGTTCCTAGGGGGACCCGCCCCGACTAGTTATGTACCCTGTCAGGTTGAATGAATAAACAGTCCACAAACAAAATTCAATTACAAATACATACTATTCAGTAGTGTGCAGTATAATTTACAATTTACATTTTTAATTCTTTGTTTTTTATTTATTATTAATTAAATTTGTAAATTCTTTCAAGATTATATAAAACCAGCTGTACTTGTGACTTTGTCTGCATGGAATTTAAGTTTATTTTTCTGAAATAAAAGTAGCCTAAATTACTCCCTATTACATCAGCTACCTGCTAATAAAAGTCCCGTCAAAATCACTCCAGCCATTTCAGCCGGAACAGACAGACAGACAAAAATTGTAAAAACTGTATGTACCATATCTATATTCATATGCATGTAGTAAAAAACGGTTATTTCCATATTACAAACAGACACTCGAATTTATATGTATAGATTACATGTTATGAGAAATTTACATGACCCCTAGAATGGTAATATAGAAGTGGCATTACAGACAGCTTGTCTACCACCAACATTACATAAAACAATTGGTGTTTAAGTATAGATAAGTTTTATATTGTCCCTAACGGGTCTAGGTGGCGAACTTTGATACAGGGCGAGCACAATAGTTCTAGGTAGGTCGCAGTGCTACAGGTGCTACAAACATCTGACAATAGCCCAAACAACCCAATAAAAAAAAATAGATAAGTTAATGTATTGCTGTTACTAACAATTATCCATTGTAACCAATATTTCTCTACGTTATTTAAATTATTAACCGGGTCTTAACACAAATAATTTTATGGCAAATAAAGGTATTTACCTCTCTCGACATTTCGATTAGGTTGCACTAGCCGTGGTCATGAGCTGACTGCTCGTCGGTTAATAATTTAAATAATCTACATTTGTCTGATGTTTTATTAACCATTTTAGAGTTGCAGATGCCAGTTCAGTCAAAGGGTTCTAAGTTCTGTTCATGAAATGGTTGTTACATAAATGAAAAATTGTGGATTTGAAATGAAAATGCTTTTACTCCGTAGACAAATATTTTGATGACTGACCGTTACTGTGGCTCAATTTGGAAATTAATATTGGTATTACTATTATTGATTTTATCGTTATTGGTATTATTATTTTGACATTGTTATTTTAGATTTAGATTTAATTATGTATTTTGAAATTCGACACAACAATTATTGTTATGAATAAAAAATTAAATCATGAATAATTTATTCATGTAGGACATGTCAGCCGGTTATGAACACCAAGTTTTTTGTATTAATATTCTTTCCCTACCGTCAGTAGTTCAGTATACAGATTCAATTGAGAAAAACTGGAGATAAACTCAACTGATTTTCTATTTTTTAAAAGCTAGTTTATTTACATTGTATACGTGTGTATGTCTATATAATCTAAGTGGAAACCTCGTGTAATTTAAAAATATTAATAAACACCTTGGTTGTTCAACATTGCTCCATAACTTACATGAATTTTTTTAGTAATACAAAACTTTATAAAACATGTGTGTGCAACAGACGCGGCTTGTCATTACCGACATTTTTAATGTACAATATAAGTAAATAAATTAATAAAGTTATTTTTCAGTTGGTGTTAAAACAGGAAATTACATTTATTACACAAAAAAATAGTTAATAAAAATTGGTATTCATGTTGAGATAACCTAACCAACAAATATTTTGTATTTTTATTAACAATGAATTCCGAATTATAACAAAAATTATACATAAAACATAATATTAATAGAAATAAATATATTTACCTTATTATCTGGACAACAGTTTTAAAATTTTGTCTAAAAATAAATAAAAAATAATGCAACAAACAAGCTATTAGAACGCCATTTTTTTAGGACTAAATTTTTTTTTTAATCCGTTTCGTTTGGTATGTTTGGAAGCGTAAATCCATGTATAAAACGAAAATATTTTTTTAACAGTGTCATTTTAATTTTTATACCAGTTTTAAAATATTCATTGTATTCATGAATAATAAAAATAAATTATAATATAGTTTTTGTAATTTTCCATATATCTGCATTGTGTACCACACTAAGTATGCGTAAACGGGAACGTAACGTAGCTACGGGTGTTAACACTTTACGAAAATTTCCCGTATATAGAGATATTTAGATTACTAGTGAAATAGGTGAATAGTAGATCTATTTCGATTTATTTAACATTTTTTACTAGATGTATACTGTAAAAATTTGTCTGTCACCTATTTCAGTCGCAAAAAAGCTGCCTTTTGTCTGTCTGTCTGTAAGCGGTAGTTTGCAATTAGGTTGTGCACTTATAGGATAAGAGGAATGACCTCTTAATCTTTTAAGCAACGCATGAGTGTATAGTATCACAGGTGTAAAATGATAACGTGTTGTCCGGCGGACGTTAGCTTGTTTGCAAAACAAACGAAATAGGTTTATGGCTGAATACCTATAAACACATTATGTAGGCAGTGCGCATGCGAAGCTTCGCACGCACCTTATAAATGTCATTCTGTTTGGTCTTATGGATAATTTTAAGTCTTATTGATAAATTTATATGGTATTGTCAAGGCTGTTATTAAAAAATGGGTAATCAGGGGCATTATCAAATGTTAATGTCATAGTGAAGACAAATTTTGACAACCCCACATACCTATGTCTGTATGCATTTGAAACCAACATGCCAGGGGTGAGCCTACCGTTGTCTCACAGATAATTTTTGATTTGTTGCCGATGTTTCCTTCTATGTGTATAAACAAAGCTTATTTTGTGTCGCTGAAATTTGAATTGTAATTCGATCTAGTAAACCAGTGGAACAACTACCCATGCAATGTGCAATAAATTTATGAGATACACCACCACTTAACCACTTAACATGTACACAAAATTTCATAAGAATCGGTCAAACTTTTTTGTAGAAGTTTTGTTACGAATACCGTAAAATTAAAATTTTGTATATTAGATATATACGCCAAGACGACTAACCTATTAAGGCCAAAATTAAGTATCTTTTTCCGTAATAGGATTCGTATTGTATTTGCAATATAATTTGCATTTATTTAAAAAAGTTACAGAAATAAATAAATTTTAAGAAATATTTTTAACAATATGAATTTAAGTATTTTAATGTTTTGGTGGTAATTAGTCATATTATTATGGCAATAACTACGCCAGCGCCATCTGGCCAAGAAAACGTGATAGCCGATTATAGCGACGCCGCGGTGCCGCGGTGAAAAAACGAAACTCGGGTCGACATCGATCTACTCGTGTGGCGTTCGGACTATATTCTTTTTTACGAACGAAATATTGAAATAAACGCGTTTAACCGTAATGTATTTGGTGCTAGTGGATTAAAATATACTTAAAAACATTCTGTGCGTGTAATTCTAAATAATGTTACGTCATTCCCGTGCTTAGTGTTAGTTACTTAGCTTCTATTAGTGAGAAGTGATTTTGTGAAGTGACTGCGAAAGATTCGACATTATCGCCTCTCGGAGCCAACTGCCGGTGCGTATTGCATGCAATCAGCTTTCTTTTGTATTATTATGTTTACATTTCCTCTTAGAATGCGGTCATACGCGCGTGAGAAAATCTAATATCTTTGTTCGTTTAGGGTGTGTCTGATTCTTCTATAGCCAAATGAGGTCGCTTTTTTTTTTTAGTTATAACCATGTCAATTTAGGCGCAGACGCCGAGATTGAGTGGCCTATTCTACTATAATTTTAAGGTGCACCTCTTATTTCAAATACTTGCACAGACTAATCTTTAGATTTTGAAATTAAAATTATAATGTTGTTTTCCCTTTAAAAATTGAAAATTACGATTTTATTATTCACTTAGTGATATCGTTCTGTAATCTGTATCGTTATTTTGGGCGTGACTGCAATCAATTCCCTACATATTATCTATCAAGTCAATATAAAAGGATGATGTCACCGGGCGGATGGCGGTATAACCCGACCGAATATGATTGACCGCTATCACTTACTACATCCATGATTTAAGCGGCGTTTTCACTTGTTGGACTGATAACTACACTACATGAAACTAAATTGCTGTCTGATACAGCAATACAGATTCGAATTATACATTTAATTGAGACATATCGTGATTTTAAACTGATTCACAATTTAAAAACAATTTTATAAAGTACACTTAACAACATACTTTGGTATTTGTACATCTTTTCATAATACATTGTTCTTTTTTTTTAAATATAATATAATAATTGTCTTTGACAATATTTGCGTGTTTTTGGCGGTAAATTTGTAAATAATGTATGGATGTTAGAATTTTTATTGTAATTCTTTGAAGCAATTTAATATATAAATTTAATAAAATTAGCATCAATAAAATATATAGGTTTTCCTTCCCTTAACATGGGTTTAAATTTAACTAGTAATAATTACTTAAAATAATCTGCAAATTTGTCTAATTTTAATATTATTATAATGTATTTAATACTTCTTCTGATCCATGTCCCATTTCCTACATCTATTAATTGTTTGTTACATAATAGTGATAGTGATTTATATATAGAATATTAGCCACATATATTTCAAGTAATAATATAAGATTGTAATATATTCATTTGTCCATTATATTGTAATTATACACCCAACCTCCTCTTTTTCCTTCAAAATTCCATTCCATTCCTTAGTATTTAAATTAAATTTCCTTAACTTGATATTGGAAAGGCAAAGCCAAAAATGGAGGAGTGAAAAAAAAGTGTTTTTAATAATAAATTAAACACTCCAAACTCAGGACAGAATTATTCTATACTGTCTGTAATAGAATAGAAAATAATTTATTCAAATAAACTTAATTTAAACACTTTTAAATAGTCATAACAATTTTTTTTTATCTACCACTCGTTCGGAAAGCTATCTCATCACAAGAAGAACGAGCAAGAAACTTGTGTGTTGCTCTTTTAAATAATCCTTGTAAGTTTACATTTACAAGTCGAAACATGTGAATATAAACTTATACACACCATATTTATTCATATACATTAAGAAAAGAACAGTTATTTTAATATTACAAAACAGATACTTCAATTTTATTTATATGTATAGATGTATAGATTAAAATATAAAGACCCCATTACAAATTAAAAGTAGTAATATTGTCTCTGAATGTAAGTATGAAGTAATATTGTCTCTCTATAATATACCTAGAAGACAGTGAAAAGGTTATTTGTTTTTTACATTTTAACAGGTTATCTGCCAGTGTGACCTCTCTTCTGACTCAATCCTAAAATAGTGCATGCTTTTTTTATCTCAATGGAAATATTGAGTGGACTCATTTAGTTTTTTTTGTTTTTTTTTTTTATGTTAACAGCCGGAAGGTAATTGGCACATGTTACCTATATACATGAACTCTATGAACTTCATATTAGTAATTTATTATTGTTTTTTGGTTATAATCTAAACTGTTTGTAGGAATTTTGTTACCATTGGCACATTTTACCTGTACATTACTGTACACTGTGGATGTCACATTGTCATTTTTTTTATTATCTAAATTGGATTTGTAGTTTTTGTTGCTAAATATACCAACCCTGTTATATATGGAATTGATCTGGGTGTTTTCTATGTATAATATATATGTATTTACGAAAAAAATATAATTTTATATATTTGTATCCGTTATCTAGTACCCATAACACAAGCTTTAGCCAGCCTAACTTGGGTCTAGATACCGCTGTGTGAATTATGTACACTTAATATAATAAATTAAAAAAAAATACTAAATTTATTACATAATTGTAGACTGAAAGGGACCTATTCATCAATGCACACAAACTACACATAAACAAACACAAATGATACATGTACATATACCCTTTCCCCTACATTTGAATATTGCACATCTGCATACGATTATGACATATTTTACTTACTCAATACATATCTGTTTACTTATATCTTTTAAACTATGCAACGGATGTTAATGTACTTTCCAGCAATAGATAGAGTGATTCAAGAGGAAGGCTTTTATATATAATACACGCTTGTTACAGTATAGAACATGCAGAGAGATTCTAAGATTTGTAATACATCCGTGTGAAGCTGGGACGGGGCACTAGTCTATACATCTATACTCTATACATATAAATAAAATTGGAGTGTCTGTTTGTAATATTGAAATAACCGTTTTTTACTACATTCTTATGAATGTATATATGGTACATACACCAAAATAACATGTTTTACAATTTTTGTCTGTCTGTCGGTCTGTTTGTTCCGGCTAATCTCTGAAATGGCTGGACCGATTTTGACGGGACTTTTTTTGGCATGTAGCGGATGTAATAACAATAGGAGTAACTTAGGCTACTTTTATTTTAGAAAAATAAAGTTAAATTCCACGCGGACGCAGTCGCGGGAACAGCTGGTTTGATATAAATTGTCATGGCACCATTGTATGTTGGACTCCAGTCTCCGCAATTAGCCTCTCATTCGGGCCGTTGTGCGTGGTCATGGGACCATCTACCTTCTTGTCAATTTGCATGAAGAACTGTTTAACCCATCCGATCGATCCACCGTCCAAATCAAACGGGGATAGATATGCGACGGTCTGAGGTCCTAGTGGTGTTCTCAGACTGAAGTTGTATCTGTCAGGCCGGAGTTGGTCTTCAGCCGCTCCATAAGTCCTTCCTTTGGTTTGGAGTGCCATCTGCACTCGCCCCCTATCGTCCGGTGAAGCTGTAAAGGCCAGCTGGTGGCGATAGCAGTACCCTACTGCTATCGGAACGGATGGGAGTCGGAATAATGTGAAAAAAAAATATAGTAACTGTTTAAATATGAAATTGTACGGTATTGTAATCTGTCTGTTGCTAGAATTTGTTCTTATTCCATGATGGCAATCAAGCATACGGCCTATCTGATGGTAAACGGTTACGTAGACTATGGACGCCTGAAACCTGGTGTCACGTGCGCGTTGCCAACCCTTAAGAAACCTTAATCGAGAGGCAGGAGGTTTTCAAAGAGGGTATCTCTTTGAAAACCTGCCTCTCGAGAAAACCTCGGCTTTCGTTCCACAATCTAATTGTAAATTTTATATTATTTACTAGCTATAACGGCAAACGTTGTTTTGCCTTAAAATAAAAAAAAATGTTAGGGGTGGACTACCCCTAACATTTAGGGGGATGAAAAATAGATGTTGGCCGATTCTCAGACCTACTCAATACGCACACAAAATTTCATGAGAATCGGTCAAGCCGTTTCGGAGGAGTATGGGAACGAAAACTGTGACACGAGAATTTTATATATAAGACATATGTATTATGTAATAAATGTATGATATGTATGTCATACAATAATTATACATAGAGACACGTACATTAAGTACACGAAACATAATAAATATTGATAAGGTATCAGTCTTTAACAATCCTAAGGTTATCTGCATTTTAGGGTTCCTTAGCTCTATCTATACATCTGTACATATAAATAAAATTGGAGTGTCAGTTTGTAATATTGAAATAACCGTTTTTTACTACATGCATATAAATATAAATACGGTACATACACCAAAATAACATTTTTTGCAATTTTAGTCTGTCTCTGAAATGGCGGTACCTATTTTGACGGGACTTTTTTTGACAGGTAGCTTATGTAATAAAGAGTAACTTAGGCTACTTTTATTTTAGAAGAATAAAGTTAAATTCCACGCGGACGAAGTCGCGTGAACAGCTAGTACAAAATATTAGTATAGCTTTTGTATAATAATATCTCAAGACAACTCAAGCGCCATCTAGTCGCAAGCTAAGCAAAGCTTGTGTTATGGGTACTAGACAACTTATATACATACATAGATACATATTTTTAGTGAATACATAGGTACTTGTATACTATATACCTTTACTTGTATATCGTATACAACTTTTTAATTCTTACTAATGTTATAAATTAATACCAAATGTCCACCGAAATCATTCCAATCGTTATGTCGGTGAACGGTCTTATCCCAACCAGTCTGGAGCAACATCTCAGACGGTCGGGATTCCGAGGCGGCTCACTCCCGGGAAAGATGCAGAAAGCGGTGCTCTTAGATTCTGCCCGCATTGTACGTCGGTTTCTCTCCTTAGGGCCCTGAACCCCGGCCGACTGTGCTTCTGCCGGGGGTAAATTGCCATCTCCTCTCCTTAAGAGGGGAGATGAGAATTTTTGTAAAATAATAATAATATATAAATTGCGGAACCAACATGGAGAAGAATGGCGTTAGACAGGGGAGGCCTATGTCTTGGGACAAGCTGATAATCGTCATCACAAAGGCTATAAACAAATATTATAAATACGAAAGTAACTGTCTGCCTGTCTGTCTGTCTCACTTTCACGCCAAAACTATAGAACTGATTTAAATGAAATTTAATACAGAAATAGATTAGAACCTGAGAAAGGACCTAGGCTATTTTTTAATCCGAAACAAGCGTTGTAAGGGGTTGAAAGGGGGGATGAAAGGTTATATGGAAGTATCGACAATTTACGCGGGCACATCTAGTTTGA